TTGTAGTGGACGTTTAAACATTATCGATTTCCCTTTCTTGCGTGTGGTTGACTACCGTTTCGCGGATAACCCCTTCTTGCCTGTAATGATTCTTTCTACTCGTAAAAGCTTCTAGAGTCCTCTTTGTAGACCATCCTCGTGAACAATAACAATGTCACCCATATCACTAGTATAACCTGGTCTTCTTCCATTTTAAGTCGGTAGGAATTTCCTAATTCAAAAAGATATTTATTTTCCACCGCGTCCAGAAATGTTCCTTCAGTCTCTCAAGCAAGGCTATACGTCTCCACCGCACTACGTGGAGAGGGGTCAAGGGTTCTTCAATGTCTTCACTGAACACAAATGTCAGAGGTCTGGAATTGGGTCTTGCCTCTATTTCAACCAGTACTGTTTGAAGCTCCTCACCGGTGACCACTGCCTTCTTAAGAATCTTTTCATGCTCGGCGCTAATCGTTCAAAGTAGCCACACACCGTGGGGCCCATTCACGATTGAATGTCCATTTCACTCCTTCGTCAGCAAGGTGTCTTCTTACTTCAGGTGAATTGAACAACGCCGCTAACGTCTTGGAAGCTTCGTTAGCAGTCTTCTCATTGTCTGAATTCTTTGTTGAAATGTGATCTAGTAGTTCGTCCTACCCCATCTTTGTTTACAGAAACTAGACCACCTACACCTACACTGCAGCATAAAGTTTGACTCGTTCTAGAGAAGGTTGACATCGTACCTCTCGCTATCATGGTGTATCCGTTTTGAGAAGTGATCATAAAAACTCCTTTCATTGGAACTATCCCCAGGCTTTCCAGTCTCCAGAACCTTTTAAGCTTACTCTCCAGCAGGTCTAGGTCAGGGTGATTTCTGACTTGGCATTTCAATACATATGTACCTGTCAGATTAATGGTGGTGCTAGAGGAAGGCACTTGACCAGAAACGATCCAACCCAGCTTGGGGTGAGTAACTGTCGTTCCTGCCTCTCCCCCGATGATTCCACCTGTGACAAGATCCCAGTATTGGTCTCCATCAACCAGTATGTCAAGTTGTGCTTCTCCTTCACAATCATCAGCTCTAGNAAGTCTACCAGCCATAACTACAGTGGTTCGTTTAATCTATGTAGTTACAGCATTCTTAAGAATCTTCCTTTCACACTCGGCAACAATCGTTCAAAGTAGTCAGCCCCCGTGGGACCCATTCACGATTGAATGTCCATTTCACTCCTTCGTCAGCAAGGTGTGTTCTTACTTCAGGTGAATTGAACAAAACCACTAACGTCTTGGAAGCTCCGTTAGCAGTCTTCTCATTGTCTGAATTATTTGTTGAAATGTGAACTAGTACTTCGTCCTACCCCATCTTTCTTTACAGAAACTTTGCTAAAGGGGTCATGCCACTTCTCCTAGACCACCTACACCTACACTGTAGCATAAAGAGTGACTCGTTCCAGAGAAGGTTTACATCGTACCTCTTGCTATCATTTCGTATCCGTTTTGAGAGGTGATCATAAAAAACTCCTTTCACTAGAACTATCCCCAGGCTTTCCAGCCTCCAGAACCTTTTAAGCTTACTCTCCAGCAGGTCTAGATCAGGGTGATTTCTGACTTGGCATTTCAGTAGATATGTACTTGTCAGATTAATGGTGGTGCTTGAGGAAGGCACTTGACCAGAAAAGACCCAACCCAGCTTGGTGTGAGTAACAAGACAAGATCCCAGTATTGGTCTGCACCAACCAGTATGTCAAGTTGTGCTTCTCCTTCACAATCATCAGCTCTAGTCAAGCCAGCAGGATGGGGAAAAGTTCTCACGGCTTGTCAAGAACGCAGACCCTGAAGCGAAGAACTAGCAACAGGTACACTGCAGGTAGCAGAAGGTACTGTGTCCTCAGTACCCTCTGAGCCAATAAATAGACTACCTACTTAGCAATGTTTGTAATTTCCAGTGTTTGAACCAAATGGCTCGAATGTCAGAGATTCAGAATGTAAAACAGACGAGTTATCTTGGCTTCCTCCATCAAGAAGGATTCCCACGGTCATTTTATGATGGCTGTTGTCTAGATTGTATAAGGTCGCTTTCGCCGTCTGCAGGAAAATGCTATCATACACATTAACAGATGATGTCTCCCTCTTGTCACCGACTACACTTTCGTGCTTCCACGTTTCAGTGCCAGGCTGAATTGCAGATTTTACACTAGGATGGGTGATACTGACCAAAGTCATGACACACTAGTATACGTTTCAAATTTCTCTCTGATTCAGCCATGAGTGCTGAAGTAGTGGAGTGTCCCATGCCCTTCCACTTCTCATGGGTGGAGGGTTTTGATCTCTAAGACTGCTGAATAATCACAACGCATCCTGTTTCCTACAGTAATTCTTCTCTAAGCTCTTTCAACACTGCCTCGAGGTTCCATTTCAATTTCCTTGGAGATTTTATTAAAGATGCTTAATCTGAGCTTAATCTGATCTCCTCTGGTATTTTGTGCAACATCAAGGAAGAAAGAGTCTTCTATATTCGTCTGCTTTATGGCCTAATCCACTCACTCAATGCTCGTACATTTTCTTGTACTTCGTATAAAGACGCCTCGTTGCCTGCAAAGGGTTAGGAGTGTCACAGCTGCATTGTCATTTGCACTAGTCAAGTTCATTCCATTGATTGTGGCTGCAGCAGAGCCCTGGAGTGACGCTAGCAGATAGGAGAACTTGCGAACGGGAGTGAGCGATTGATCTAGATGAATTATTGAATCGAGACTGTCCCAAAACATTGACCATTCCTTAAATTAACCATCGAATGATGGTAGGTGCAATTTGGTTGCTCACCTTTGAATTGCTGACTCCATGTGCCGATATGGCGACTTTTGAGAAGGGGCTCTTTGTGT